CACCAGCCTCACTCCTTCCCCATGGGAGTCACTGAATCCCCTCTCCAGCCCAGTTCTGTGTTATTACACCAGTTAGACCCAGCCAGGAGTTCAACCCTGACGTGCTTTTCCAAACAGCCCCAAAATCTGTGCTTAGGGACGAGCAGAAAAGCAGGAGAGCCCTGCCTGGAGGTCAGGGGGGGTTCCTCAGCCAAGCCCTTGGGTTTAAAGCCATTTCTGGGCTGGAAAGGAGTGACCACAGCCATGCAGAGCCCTGCTGGGGACACAAATCCTCTTCAGCCAGAGCTGCAACAACCCTTGGTGTGCTGCAGCTTTGATGTGCTGAGGTCATAAAAACGGTTCCTGAAGGTTTCCTTGGTCTGGGACCACGACTGGGCCCAAAGGAGACAAAGAGCCAGGGCAGTGTCAGGGAGTTGCTGCCTCTGTTTGTGCCTGTGCCGTGGTTTGGGGTTGGAGGTGCTGCTGTAACTGTCCCACCCCGTTCCCAGGCCAGCCTGCGCACGCCCGAGCTCACCTGGGAGAGGGTCAGGTCCCAGGTGGACCATGTCATCTGGCCAGATGGGAAGAGGATAGTCCTGCTGGCAGAGGTGAGTGCCAGGGTTGCAGCAATTGCAGCTGTTCCCTGTGGGAATTTCATCCCGTTCCCTGTGGGAATTTCAACCTGTTCTCTGCTCCTGGAGGGGGAAAACAAGGGCTGGGCAAGGGGTGGAGCCGAAGGGTATCCAAAAACCACCACCTTGGGCCTCAGCAGCTGAGGAGTCCCTCCTCTGGCTGGAGGGTTTGGCCCATGGACTCATGGAATCACAGAATGATTTGGGTTGGAAAAGCTTCTGGCTCCATGGAGTCCAACCATTGCCAGCACTGCCAAGGCCACCACTGACCCACGTCCCCAAGTGCCACATCCACAGGGATTTGAAGTCCCTCCAGGGCTGGGGACTCCCCCCTGCCTTGGGCAGCTGTGCCAGGGCTGGACAGCCCTTTCCAGGAAGGAATTTCCCCAGTATCCAACCTGACCCTCCCCTGGCCCAGCCTGAGGCCGTTTCCCCTCGGCCTGTCCCTTGTTCCCTGGCAGCAGAGCCCGACCCCCCCGGCTCCCCCCTCCTGGCAGGGACTTGCAGAGCCAGAAGGTCCCCCCTGAGTTCCTGGGACCTGGAAAAGCCCCCGTGTTTTAATTTATCCCACTCCAGGGTATCTCCCACAGGGAGATTCTCACTCATTAAGTGCAGCCAGCACCTTGGGATCCAAGTGCAGGTGACAAACCCTTTTATCCCAGTAGGATCATCTCACACCAGCGGTTCTGGTCCCTTCTGCAGGGCCACAAACCGGGTTTGGTGCCTTGTTGACACCCAGCTTTCCCTCCCCAGGGCCGCCTGCTGAACCTGAGCTGCTCCACCGTCCCCACCTTCGTCCTGTCCATCACGGCCACCACGCAGGTGAGTGGGGTGGGCTGTGCCCAGAGCCCCCTCCTGCTCCCCAGGGCAGCAGCTCCTCACCCGGGTGTCTCCTCCCTGCAGGCCTTGGCTCTGATAGAGCTCTACAACGCTCCCGAGGGCCGCTACAAGCAGGACGTGTATCTGCTGCCTAAAAAAATGGGTAACCCCCTGCTCCCTGCCTTCTCCTCGTCGGTTTGGGGG